CCCCAAAACCCCAAAACCCCAAAACCCCATGATTTAAAATTCAGTGCCAAATAAAAGAGTAATTATAATGAAGATATACTCACTAATTAAGTAACCATTAATACAAATATTTTAAAAGTCACCATTTACACTTTGGTATTATTATTTTGAATGATCGATATCCAGATTACTTTACTCCTTCATATCACACCATCCCATATAATATCAGCAGGCTTCAATCCAGATCGTCTCTGAAAGAATTCCTGCAGGATCTTGAGGCAGTTGACGTCATAGGCGAGATCATTTAATTCTTTTTTACATCAAGTAACTCAGTAAATCTTTCGAGGCTGATTTTCTCATCTACCTGCATGTTTATTTCATTGAATATATTTTCGATCTCCTAGTCGCTTACTATTCGCCCTGATCTCAAAAACACTTTCTTTAGTCCATGACTTGTGATATAGTTACAGTCATCAGCATCGAAGTATTTAAAGATGTTGACAATATTTTCACGAGTCAAGTGAGTTTAGGGGTCTAGAGTCGCCATTAGAAATTCAGAGTAGTTAATCTGCTCGTTATTATTGAAATCAGTTGTAAAGAAAATCTCTCTTAACTCTAGCTCCTTGTCCTTCCCCTCTGTAAAAGCACTATGCTCGTAAAATGCCTCTTTCAACTCATCATATGTTATCCCACCTGATAGGTTATCATCTAGAGCATAAAATGTGTCTTTTATATCTACAATCTCTTTGTAGGTAAGAAGAGTACCTAGAACTTTCAATACTTCTGCTTATAATTTCGTCGGCTTTTTAAAACTCTTCAATCTCATTAAAACATCATGAGAGATATTCTTTTAGAGACTCTCTTTTGAATGTTTTAGTAGCCATGGATGGACTGTAGCTTACTCTGCTGTGAGTCTTTTAACTGTGATGGGTTACAGACATTATCTAACAAAGTCCTTAGCTTCATTTGATATATTACTCCAATCATCATCTGCAAATTCATATTCGCAATTAAGAATTTTTCTGAACAATTAATTTTCTGTTGTGGCGTTAAATGGAGGATATCCGCACAGCATAATATATGCAATTACTCCGATACTCCATATATCACAGCTATTATCATATTTTCCTTCAAGGATCTCGGGTGATACATAATAAGGTGTCCCGATCTTAGTAGTCATTTGAGATTCATCATTATTGAAGTACTTAGACAAACCGAAATCAATAACTTTAATTTCTTGCCGTTTGCCCTTAACCTCAAATAAAACATTTTCAGGCTTTAGATCTCTGTGGCAAATATTGCGCTCATGAAGATGCCTTATGGCAGAAACTATTTTAAGAGTTATAAGGGCTGCTTCCTTCTCACTTAAGCGACCTTTGTCCATAATATGCTCGAATAGTTCTCCTCCCTCGCAAAACTCAGTCACAATGTGAAAATGATTATCGTCCTTGTAGATCTCATAAAAATTGATAATATTTGGGTGATCAGCGCTCTTTAATATCTCCAGCTCTTGCTCGAGTAAATGAATATCTGTCTTTATCTTGTCTCTTGAGATTGATTTAACAGCAAATCTCTTTTTAGGATGAGAGTTCTTTTAAGCTAGTCTTACAGTGCCATATCTTCCGTGTCCAATCTCCTTGCCGATAGCGTAAATTTTATGTATATCCTCTGATGAAATCCTTTAGTTTATCTCATACTGCTCATGAATTTGTTTCCAAGAATTCTATGAAGTTGAGCTTATGTGAGTAGAGGGTGCATTCAACCATTGACTGGCTCTAGTATCTGGTGAACTTATCATTGGACTTCCAATAGGCGAGTAAATTTAACCACCAGGTATTTAAATTGACTCATTAAGAGATAACTGATTGGATTTTTTTCTATTGTGGGATTGATTGTTAGTAGCACAATAAGGGTAATCGTTGTTTGTAGATTGATTCATATAGCTAGTATATTATGAATTTGACTCAGAGACTAGTATTCTTCGAATAGTAGGAGCATTATGATAGTCTTCAATCGTTGCCCTATTGATTCGTTCTGAACTGCAGCACCATGCACTTCCCATTTGCAAATTTCAATTTAAAGATGTCTATAATTTTCTAATTGATACTATTTTAATTAGTTTAATCAGCCGTAATCGTACTTAATTAAGTGCCCTTACATTCATCTTTATCATCTCTATGGGGTTTTGGGGTTTTGGGG